AATCAGTGTTTTTGTGTCTTTTGGGTAGATACCTAGGAGTGGGATTGCTGGGTCAAATGCTCTAAAATTTACTGAAAGAAAACATAATACATACAAAATAGTTTTTGAAGAAAATTTCTTGGGGATTTCTTGCTTCTTTAAGTATGTTCCCAAAAATCACCAGTTCTTCAACAAGATACAACAATATTGTAACACAGGCAAAAGTATTCTATGATCATATAACTTTAGAAGAAGTACAGTAAAATGGTCTTTTTTGGCAGGACTTTATAGAGTTTCATAATATAGATGTGCATTATAAATGGACAAAAGGAAAACAGATCTTGCTTACCACAGAATTTGTCTCTATTTTTGATTTTAGAAACACACCACAAAATTGAAGATCCAAAATATATAGGTCTCTCTGGAAACCAACCAAACTAAAAGCTATATAAATATAAGAACAATGTTTTATACTGATTAAACTGCCTAAGTTTAAATTTATTTTCTAGAATCAATAAACTTTTAAATTACAATTTAATTGACTTGGTAAAAAACTATGTAGCTAGAGAATTAAAGTTTTTGATTCCTAAAACTCTTCTTATAGTATGAGATGTGATAAAGTTAAAATATAAAATCAGAATTAGCACATACCAAAGCAAGAGAATCTTCTGAAGCCCACCTGAGATCAAAATCTAATTACTAGTTTATTGATCTCTTTTCAATGCTATAATTTATTCTTGGGTGACAATTTTCAATTGACAAAGTGGATTCCATCAAAAGTTAAAACACTAAATCATTTATCTTCATTTTAGATTCTATTTCTAACACCTGGTTGCTGATACTTACAGAATTCAAAAACACAGAAAGCAAGGTAAAATTGCAGTTGCAGGCAGTTGAGTATCATAATTTTCAACAGACTTTCATTAAATATCTGTCTGTTCATACTGCTGAACAAAGGAAGTGGGATGTATCTACCCCATCCTTTAGATAATGCAATGGCTACAGATCAACTATACGTAACAACTTATGTGTCTAGACCTGCACTTAGTCTATGATCTAGAGTTTATGTACCAAATCTATTCCCCAACATTTTTCACTGTGTGATACACAGTGACATATACAAAGGGAATGTATTTATCAAACCTAAGATTAAGACTTTCACATATGGTATCATAAAAAAGTAAAGGGTAAAGAAATGCTAGCTTGACTCAAAATAAGATTTTCATTTTAGTAAAATAAACAGTGCTTGAAATTAAAATTGAAATGATGAAAATCTAATAATTTAAAAATTCATTTTCTTTGTTACTATATTTTATGCAAAACCCTATCATTTACCCATTTTTTATAAACTATATTCTATATTGCTTCTAAAAAATTTTATTCAGAAAGTTTACTGAAAAGTTTACTGAATTTGGACATTAGCATAAAATTTTTTAAACTTTCCCTACTTCTTATAACTAGGTATTGTGTTTCTGTTTTTAAGTAGTTCTTTATATAGTATTCAAAACGGAAAATAAAAGTGTGGAATTTTCTGGAAAAACAACAAAACTATGAAGTATTTATTCAAATATGTGTTTTGAAGCAGATGTCATATTTTAATGAAAAAAGGAAGCACAATGGACGATGGTGGTGGACCCCTGGTGTGAGTACCCTTCAGTGGTGACACCTGATAGGGAGAACCCCAATGCTACCACGATTCACATAATAAACTAATTTTTTCAATGTTATTTCAAAATAATACACAGTCATTAGTAGAATGCACAACTGATTATAACCATTGCCAAACAATATTTCTTTTTCACCAATCAAAATGCTGTTGTTTTTTTAACTAAAAGCCTTATTTTACTCCTTATGTACATATATACTTTTATCTCTCAACTCCAAACTTTTCATCAATAGCATATACTATACTATACTATACTATCCTATCCTATCCTATCCTATCCTATCCTATCCTATCCTATCCTATCCTATCCTATCCTATCCTATCCTATCCTATCCTATCCTATACTATACTATACTATATTATAAATTATCCTATAATTTTTACTTAACTGTAAATGTCAATTAATCAGATTCAGTAAGGATAAATCTATGTAGGGCTTTAAGAGCTGGGGAAATACTGCTGTGCATATAGCTGTCATCCCAGTCCACCTATATAGCAGTATGCTACTAAGATAAATGAAAGACATCAGAGCATTTAATTTTTATCACCACATAAAATAATGCTTCTACTGAACTTATCATACTTTCTTATAAAAAACTGCAATTTGTTTAGCTAAAAAATTATTTCAGCCAGACATAATTTTAAATATAAGCTTGGGAAAGAATATAATTAGGTAAAGTTGTAATTCTTTCTTTTACCACATTAGTTGATGCTCTCTCTTTTGCTGCATAAAAATATATAAGATGATGACTTTAGCTATGCTTTAGGCTAAATCAGTCTAAAATCAAATCACTCAAAATATATATCAAAATATATTCAGAACCAATCTTAACAGGATTGGAATAAAGGACAGTTTTCTGTAATAAAGAACAATTCACATTGAAACAGCCCAATTTATGCTTTGATGTTTTTATAGAGATCAGTTTTGGTTAAAATGAGCTGTGTGCTAAGAGAAAATAGGAGAGGAAATTGCATAAAAAACAATTACGTGACCTGAAGGCACCACTTTAAAGAAGAGGCAACAGTGTCAGCTGATAATTCTTCTCTCTACCCTTATCTCCATTTCCATCTCTAGGTGAGGGAGTCTTACAATTTTCCAGTGACATTAAGCTATGCTAAGTGCTAAAGAAACAAAGACTTGTATAGGTATCTGCAGTCTGACCCTAAGGAGTACATTCTCGTCCTCTTCATTTACCTCTGGTAAGAAATTTAGCAGATGAGTCAGTCACTCTGATTGGAGTGAATTGAAGAATATCTCTTACTATCCTCACAGAAACAACCACATCAACCAAAACTTTCCCAGACTTCACACTAGGTGGGAATTAAGAATTTCAGAGTAGTCACATTCTCTTTTTGTTGATCAGTTCAGGCCTGTGTGTTTAAGAGTATGTGCACATGTTTCTGCTTCTTTCTTAATCACTTACCTAGCCTCATTCAAAATTCCCTCAGTTCCTCTCCAGTATTATTCATACTTTACACTCTAACATATAAACTAATTGTCAAGGCACAGGTTGTAGAACTGAGACATCTCCCTTCTCTGTTTTGCTTTTGGTTACTTGCTTTTATGCAAATTATCAATCAAAATCTTTCTGGAAGTCATCACACTGAAACAGCGGGTGTGGTGGATTTCTGTACATTATGTATAATAGGATAGAAAAAGTCAGCAATAGCCTCAAACTAGATCCACAGATTGTTGGGGTGACCAGGTGTAGGCGATAACACAACTACCGGTGGGACCAGATAACGAGCTGGGCGATAACGAACTGGGCCTCGCATCTGAGGGCACAGCAATGAGTCACCCCTTTAGAATCTGAACCTAGAATCTATATAGGAGACCCTTTTCCCTTATAGGACTGGCAGTAGCTGTGGACTCCACCCTAGGGAGCTCTGTCTCAGCTGCTGCCC